TTACCCATATTATTATATCATTTCATTATCACTTTCATTACTACATTATCGTTATTACTATTATTATCAATTATCATTATTATTATCATTATTATTATCATTATTATCAGCATTATCCTTATTTCTATCATTATTGATGATATTATCATTATTATTACTATTATCCTTATCATTATTTTCATCATTATTAATGTCATTATTGTTATTAATATTATCATTATTACCATTATTATTATCATCATTATCATTATCACTTTCATTGTTATCATTATCGTTATTACTATTATTATTATTAATTATTATTATTATTATCATTATTATCAGCATCATCCTTATTTCTATCATTATTGATGATAATATTATTATTATTACTATTATCCTTATCATTATTTTCATCATTATTAATGTCATTATTGTTATTAATATTATCATTATTATTGTTATTATTATCATTATTATTATCATTATTATCATTATTATTACTTTTATTGTGATGATTATTATTATTATGGTTATTATCATTATTATCATTATCATTTATCATTATTATTATTATACTATATTATTATCATCAATGATCCACATCACCATCATTATCATTCTTATTGTTGTGATTAATATCATTATCATTATCACTGTAAAAATAACAACAGCAAATGAATAATAATAATGATAACTAAAATAATAATGATGATAATAATCATAATGATAATAATAACATTAATGATAATAATAATAAGAATGATAATAAAAATATCATTAACAATGCATCTGTAAATCTTTTCATCATTATTATTACTGTCATTATTACTATTGTCATTACTTACATTATTATCATTACCATTACTATTATTATTATCATCATTTTTATTACTATCATCTTCATTGTTATCATTATGAATATTATAATTATTACAGTTATTATCATTATCATCTTTATTACTATTATTTTTCAGTATTACTACTACTTCTATTACTATTATCACAAGACAATGATAAAGATAAGAAGAACGATCATTATCATCATTATTGTTATTAACTTCAGGAGGAGGCCGTGGGCAGCGGAAGGGCCTAGACTTAAGGCTAAAAATAGAAGGTGAGGAGTGAAGAAAAAGGAGAATTGAGAGTGAGACGGGAACGGAAAAGGGAAAATGTGACGGAGAGAGAATTATCATTATCATTCATTTTCATTACTGATATCATTGTTGTTGTTGATGGTGTTGCTGTTAGTATTGCCATTCTTATAATTGTTGTTAGTGTGATAATTTTAGCAATTATTACTGTTATTATTATTGTTATCATTATTATCATTATAATTTATAATTATCATTATTGATGTTGTTTTTGTTGCCACTAATACTAATATTATTATCATTATTATTGTTATCATCATCATCATTATCGCTATTACCTTTATCATCAAAATTACCATTATTATTACTGTTGTTATTATTATTACCATTTATTATCATCTTTACTATCATTATTATCATTATTACTGTTATCATTATAGTCATTATTATTATTATTTTTTTATTATTGTTATTATTATTATCATTATTATCGTTATTAATATTATCATTATTATTATTATTATTATTATTATTATTATTATTATTATTATTACTATTATTATTATTATTATTATCACTATTATTATTATTATCATTATTGTTATTAGTGTTACTATTATTATTATTATTACTATTATTATTATTATTATTATTATTATTATTGTTGTTGTTGTTATTATTATCACCATTATTTTTATCAATATTGTTATCGTCATCGTTATAATGATTATTAATGTTATGATCATTGGTATCATTATTGATAATAAGAACAATAGTAATGATAATATCATCATTATTGTCATTATTATTATCATTATCATCATTAATATTATTATTGTTCACATCACTATTATTTCATCATTAGCATTACCATAATCATTATTTTTATCATCACCGTTACTACTGTTATCATTATTACTATAATCTATGATAACATTGATATCATTGTCTAAAATTCGGGTATGATTATAATCTTAACTGGAGGTCTTATAATCACTGAATAGGATCATTATAAACCCCAGTGAAATACTATGCTCTCTATCACTGGTAAAATATCAATGATAATATCAATAATAAATTTGATAATGACTCCTCCAACTGTTAATGATATCAGTAATAATTCTTAATACTATTCTACCATCATTATTATGCTTTAATGGTTTATACTTGTAATAATAATGAATATGATTATTGTCAAGGTAATTATCTTAATGATGTTGATTACTAATTAATTAGCACTTGATTAGGACGTGACACGTGCGGATGTTGGCGTGTGTGTGGATGGGAAGCGCGTAATATTTATCATCAGTATTAATGGTTTAAGGAAGCCAGTCGCAAAAACAGCCTCAAATCACAGATACAAAGAGTAGACCTAATCTTTCCTTTGACGTGAAGCCATTGCTGTTTCATGTTACTCAAAGTCAATTACATATATTTATGAACTACGTACTGATTCAAGAATAACTACAGGAATGATCAAAATATGATCCGGTGTACTTTTCTCTCATTTACATGGCAAATGCTTCTATACGGCAAAATATTACTTACACGTAAATCGTATGATTTCCTGACAGTCCAATTAACAAGAGCGATAATATTTCCAGCTCAAAACGTCAATATAATCTGACACATGTCGCGTATTAGGGCATGCAATTTCTCTTCTCGCTTGCCTGCACGTTCGTATTTCCATGTTTTAATGATAAGCTGCTCTATATATGAGAGACATGCAAAGGAAACTTAACTCATAAAGTTATATGTCTTAACACATGTGAACCATTTTGATATAAGTGAGTGCCTATATGAAAGTATGATAGATCATTGCTATATGTTGGATATGAGAAAAAAATGGAGGAGAGTAATATTGGGTTTGGAAGAGTCACGCCAGCGATGTCCAATATCCCAGCATCGGCTATTTAGAGAAATGTAATACTGGATGAATCAGTCGGCAGATATGTTATGATTAGGAAGAACGCACTTACACGGGCGCACAAATAAAGAAATATGACTGTATTTATAAATACACACACACACATAAACACACAAATACAACTCGCTCGACGCCTTTGCCTGACTTTAAAAACGCATTGTTTGAAAAGGTAATAAATATCACAAAAGAGTGAACATGAACTTTTTTGTCAGACAATGCTTCCACTACAAGATATCTTAGGTTTAAAAAATAATCAATAAATTAGATTAAGAATAACAACACGATAAATAAGAAAGAACGAAGGGAGGAAGAGGAAGTGTAACAAATAGCATACTAAGAGGAAAATAATTTGGCTTATAGACGTATTCAGACTTGATATCTAGTGCTTCTGCATATCCATTCAGCACGAATACTGTCTTGTAATATCTGGTTCCAAATACAACTCGGTGTAGAAGTGCCCTGGATGTACATGCTGAGAACAGTGTGCTTGCATGTAAATCGAACGTTTTCAT